GGGATGGACTTAGTGCTAGCTTAACACAATCATTCCGAGGTGCCTACACCTCCAGACATTCACTCAGGCAGTCTGGATAGAAACCGACAACAAGAACGCTACTGACATCGGTTGGCAGCTATATCTTGTAGTGTCTCCAACCAGGCACAGTGAGGATCACGCGGTCCCCATCCTGGAAGGCGAGTAGCACCGACAGCACCCAAGCGTTTCGTGATCTCCTTCATACTCCTCTGCACCAGTTAAGTGTGCGATTATAGTTCACGAATCGTCCAGACGTTTCCTGTAAAGTGGAATGGCCTGGATACGGGCCTGCACCTCGCTGTAGCCTGAACTTGACGCTTTTGGCCCGAGAGCACTTCACGGACTGCAGCTCTTCTCCAGTTCGCATATAAGTTTGTCCTAGATGGCTAGTCTTTATGATAAGTGCAGCGTGCCGCATGATTGGTCATATACAAGAAACAATGTTGTGGCAGTTAAAAGAACAGCAACGTTTCGGCTGTCTTCCGTCAGGAGAAGCAGACTGGCTGATTAGATCAATCCTTGATAGGATGATCGGTCGGTCGAACAGCCTTTGATCAATCAACTAATGTGTAAATCCAAACATCTCCCCGGAGGAAGTCGCACTCGAAACGCTGAGTTAATAATTTGCTCTTAACATTGTTTCTCAACCAACAAACAACCAAAATAACTCACTAATAATCAATTTTGCCCCGTCCGTACTGAATACGGTGTGGGTATTCAAGACAGTATTTGCAATTTACTCTGATCATTTAACATTTTTACTCTACTTTGGTACCAATGGGTTTGCGCATTTGCGGGCATTCCGAGTGTTAAACTAAGCGGTCCCTGAGATAGCCAGATATGATTTATGCCGTAGTTCTCACAAGGCACCTGAGCGAGTGAGTTCGAATGTTTTTATCAGTAGAAACAGTGGATGACTTCGTCAAGATCATATCCATTTTTCTCTAAAGCGTAGTTGTCAATGCTTACCAGAGGATCTATCGCACAAGCTGTTTGTGGACAGTGTCGCCATTTTCCCAAGGTGTGTTCTTCGAAAACATTCACGATCCCCGTGTGGGAATACACGTTTAACGGACTTCAGCTGGCAATGGCTGCTTTAGTGTACATGTACCGGTGCTTTTCACTCTCAAGTAGAATACACACCGAAACGAAATGGTTACCAGTGTTCGATCACGAGACGCAATCGGTGGTAATTGAAACCGCATGAAACAACACCTGAAGAGACCTGTCAACTTACAGAAATCTCACGGAGTTTGACAACCCATAATTGGGATGCCTTCTTACATCCATCAAGCAATTATGGATTTACGAAATATAGCGAGCCTCTGCCATGCACTCCCACAATTTCCTAACTTTGCAGTGAAACACGATCTGAAGAATAAATTCGAACCGGACGCTATGATACCTGAACATTAACGCGCCTTCCCAACAACTTGCCCGTGTCACAGTTCCACTCTGTTCAGTAATTTTGCAAAAAGCTGCCATGAGATCCCTCCTGGACGAAAAATGGTAGTGGTAAATCTCAACACTTCGATTTCAGATATCTCACTCCAGTAATCTGTTGACAATACACAGATCCAGTGTTCCGGTCGTCCAGGTTGCCTGGAAGTATATTTTGGCAAGTGCCAAAGCATTTGTCAGTTTAACTGCATTCTGTACGGGCCGGAAAATCAGGATAGGTTCGTTTACGTAACTATCAGAAATACCGGTAGTTTTCACTGTGCTCAAAGATGTGGAGTGAGTTCTGTGCTTTGAAAGCGATGAGGCACCGCATGATGAGCATATTACAAACCTCCAGAGATGTTCTTCGAAGCTCGGTTGGGTTGTTCGAAAACAACTAAAGTGGAGCACTGTTATGGTGAATGCCATAGAGCTCGGTAGTTTTTCATCAGGAAACATCGAATATACCTCGTCATTGGATCAAGATACGCATTTTTATCGAAGCAGCAATCTATTATACGTCAGTGGTGTTGAATACGAGTAATACGGTCGGCTTTCGGCGAGCCGGTTATTTCCCAGGATTACCGTCACGTCATTCAGTGGACCCTCACACCGGTTCTACACTGCTGCCCCAAAATGAAAACCACAACCAAGCTGATTGATTCTAGACTCATCATCATCGACAGCATGACATCAGTGTTCAACACCGATGCTTCACTGCCGTACA